TTTTGATATAAGTAAAGATTATGGAAAGTGACTTGGTTAGAAGAGTCTGCAGTGTCCGTAATTTCAAGCTCGGTAGGGTAGGTAAGATTGACGGGGTCAATACAATTATTGTTGTTTACAGACAGCAAACTGTCGATATATTTGAATGTTGAATTGAAAGAATTGCAATTTGCTAAGGTTCTTTTGTCCTGATGGATAAATTTAACCTCGTATGAAAACCAAAAGTCGGCCAGAGGAGGGGCACAGTTTCTCCCCATAGGAATGCATGCCTACTGATGGAAAGTCTTGCTACTGGACTTGGTAAAGAACTCAACTGGGAACTCAATTATTCTCACAATTTCATCCTCTTGTTTATTTCTTTTAGAGTTTGTAGTGCTTTTTACAAAATATGCTCCAAATTAATTGACAACCATATATTTCCGTCGCTGTTTGCCCTTCTTTTAGAAAAGAAACCTCTCATAATAAGAAAGCGAGTTGAAGGCGTTCCTTCTATTTGGTACGAGAAATTGTTGTGTAAAGGGTTGAAAAGTAAAAAAAGCTTGATAGAAAGAAAAAAACTGTTTAGGAAGAGGATGTTCAAGATTGATAAAATGTTCTTTTGAAATCTTCAAATTCCACATTCCAATTATTCCACTGACCGAGTATACAGAGACACAATACGGCAGTAACTCGTGATTAAATGGTACTAGGCTTGCATACAGGCTTTGTTGAATTTATGAGTAGGCAAAAGCATTCAGTAGATCACGAATGGAAAAAAATATCTTGTCAGTTTTGCATACTTTATGTCCATACCTTGTCTGTTTTCACTTTTGTAAATATTTATCCTAACTAATTTAGTTAACTCATTCCGTACCCCTGTATATTGACAATCGACTATGCCATCCTGTAGGGGGGTAGTGCTTAGTGATCTGTTGATGCGAACTCATGTTGACACACGGACAGACATGTACGATAATGTTAAATGATGAAGTGTTTCATCTCGTAGCCTGCGATCGCTAATCCACATCCAACTCTTTTTACGGTCTGGAGATATTCAAAAGATCCGACCTAGTGAGCCTGCGCTTACATTTTAGGACTTTTGATGGCTTACAAAGGGTTGACAGCCCACTACAGCTATATTACAATACAGCGATTTGTTGGCTGGTCTGTAGCAGGTGATGTCTAGAAAACAAGCCAAATAGACCTGCTTAAGGAGTGTTTGTCACACAGAGGGGGAGGGGCATTTTTGTCACAGAGGGGGAGGGGCATTTTTGTCACAGAGGGGGAGGGGCACCTCATTGTCGTCACTTACAGCTTGATTAGACTCTATATCATACCTGTTATTACTTCATTTTTTGATGTTTACATTTGCTGTATTGAAATAGACTGAATTGTATATGATATGCCTGCATCAGACACATTAAACATTCAAGTTGGGAGGGCTCTGTGAATAACACATAATATAGTAACACCATATTGGCAAATGAAAACATATACATGTACCATGTATGCTTGATCAATAACGGGGATTTGACAGATGTTGAACAAAAATGGAATAGTGTATTATGAGGTACAGTCGTCGTTAATCTCTCCATCTACTTTCTGGAGAGGGTAAATCCTACACCAGATTATCTGGAGAGGGTAAATCCTATACCAGACTTTCTGGAGAGGGTAAATCCTACACCAGACTTTCTGGAGATAGGGTAAATTCTACACCAGATTATCTGGAGAGGGTAAATCCTACACCAGACTTTCTGGAGAGGGTAAATCCTACACCAGATTATCTGGAGAGGGTAAATCCTACACCAGACTTTCTGGAGAGGGTAAATCCTACACCAGATTATCTGGAGAGGGTAAATCCTACACCAGACTTTCTGGAGAGGGTAAATCCTACACCAGATTATCTGGAGAGGGTAAATCCTACACCAGACTATCTGGAGAGGGAGGACAGCAGGTCTTGCATCCGACATACTACCGGGTACTCCGACTAGAAAACCCAATAAAGTTTGGCCTAATGTTTAAATCAAAAGTAGCCAACAGAAACGCTGATGCATTAAAAACTGACAGACAAGATCATTGTAGCAGACTGGCAAATCACTGTTGAGGTTCTGGTCAAACTATAAAACAACTGCTGTTTTTATAAAGATCATGAAGTCGTCTATAGCGAAATAGACAATTTCATAATATATCTATGTGATGACAGCTACAGTGACGAGGACCACATAGTGACATCCAGACACCCTGCCAGGGTCATGATGAAAATGTAATAAATAAAATAAGATGAGAAAGAAAAAAAGAATGTCCCAAAAATATTTAATAAGAAAAAAGACGCACACACACAAAAAAACAGGCCACAAGAGAGAGAGAGAGAGAGAAAAACATATATTAAAAAAAACACTCCAAAACTAAAGGTGCAAAATTTTAAAGTACCCAAGAAATAAAGACATTTTCAAAACTTTGTTAAAAATAAGCCTTTATAACTGTACATCACACTCAGCAATGGTAGCCCAATTTTTTAAGTGATTACTAAATGTAAATTGATCTACCTATATACATATGTATGCTCTTTATCTTAACTCATTCACCCCTGAAGACATATTTGAACTCTTCCCATTCAAAGGTTGGAATAGTTCATTATAAAATTTCAAGGGTGAATGCAGTTAATGTAGGATTACCTGCCTACGTACATTCAGTATAGTGATAGGAGGTTAACATGGGCCTGGGGTCTCATTATACTTGGCGGGACCCTAATCTCTTTCGGTTTGTCAGACTAGGCCATGTTTATGCTCGACTTGCCCTAATTTAGTTTAGCTAATGTTGTTTGTCAAACTGGGCCATGTTAAAACTGTTTTATTCTTGGGACTTTCCCTAATTTAATTTAACTGATGTGGTTTTCCCAAACTGGCCCTTGTTTAAACTTTTATTCTTGACTTGCCCTAATTTAATGTAACTGATATGTTGTTTGTCAAACCGGGCCCTGTTTTATACTTGACTTGCCAATAATTGAACTATCATTCTCAGTATTTATACTTGCCTATATTGAATTTAATTGTTAAGTTCTGACGTACAGATGTAGTATAGATTAATTGAAGAAAACTGACAATTATACTGTACGTACATGTAATGGGGTTTATACGAGGAGAACTCACTGATGATACTGTGGCAGTGTATGTCGGTTAAAAGGTACAATGACCTTATCACGCATGTGTGAACGTAACATTAACCTAATTATATAGTACATTGCGTGTTGTACTGGAAACCCTCGCCAACCCATTAATATGTGTATTGTAGTGCTCACACTCCATTACTCCACAGTATCACTATAACAGTATACTGTTACAAGTGTTTTAAAAGATTCGGTGACACGCTAATGTAATATATAATGTTAGATATACAGTGACAGGTCAATATAATGTTGTATTTATAAAGCAATGGTTATACCGTTAAAATGTTGTAATCCCTCATCAATTTGTAGTGTTATTATATTAACATGTTTTTCAAAATAAAATACATACTTCCTTGCTATTGATTATATGTCCCTGTTAAAAAGCTTTTTCAATATCTTATTTCTTTCTTTTCTTGTTAGTATTTAAAAGTGTGTGTGTTTAAGTGGAAATTGAACTTATTTACATATTAAAATGTGATAGCAAATGCCTTATTTTAAGTATTTTTGTAAACATTCTACTTAACAAAAATGATGAGTCAGAGCTGGCATTAAGGGAAGTTTTGTTTTTGTTCCTGTTACATTTATAGACCTCTCCCGGTGGCATACTGTAACAAACCGACTGGTTGGGCTGGCCTGACTATTGATCTCCTGGTATGCTCCCGGTGGCATACTGTAACAAACAGACTGGTTGGGCTGGCCTGACTATTGATCTCCCGGTGGCATACTGTAACAAACCGACTGATTGGGCTGGCCTGACTGTTGATCTCCTGGTGGCATACTGTAACAAACAGACTAGTTGGGCTGGACTATTGATCTCCCGGTGGCATACTGTAACAAACCCACTGATTGGGCTGGCCTGACTATTGATAGACAACTAGAAGATGTGTGACATTTGGTTAGCACTGGTGTACAAAATGAATAACTTTGAGTTCATATTTTGAAATATGTTCTAGCTACAATCTCACTATACTCTGTATTTAGACCCAATGTCACGCTGTATTAGTTGACACACATTTTCCTACATCCTCATTGGTCGGATCATAATCACATGAAAGTCAGTGATTTGTAACATTGACTTGGTCTTGCTATGTTTAGAAACAGCAGGTCGATTTTCATTTTATGACATCATTTCAAATGTGACGTCACTAATCTCTCTACATAATGTAGTAATTTTCCTTCATACAATTTTCATACCTTCCATCTTGTTCGATGATTAAAACATTATTTAGCATCTAATATAACAATATCAATATAATTTTCTCAGGTCTATATAACCTCATATTCACCTCAACAAAAAGTCCATAATAGATGAATAATCTCATTTCTTAACTTTTGAGCTTCAAAATTTACCTGTATTTTTTATGTAACCTTAGTATGCAGTATAATTGCACTCTAAATATGAATTTTCATTTAACCTTGATATAAACTGTAAATATGTTCATTGGATACAGGCTGATGTAGAAATTACTGTAATTTATGAGGATATGTACTGTAAATATATATTTCATTGGATACAGGCTGATGTGGAAGTTGCTGTAAGGTATAAGGATATGTACTGTAGATATATATTTAATTGGATACAGGCTGATGTGGATGTTGCTGTAAGGTTTGAGGATATGTACTGTAGATATACATACATGACTTTGGATACAGGCTGATATGGATGTTGCTGTAAGGTTTGAGGATATGTACTGTAGATATTTATTTAATTTGATACAGGCTGATGTGGATGTTGCTGTAAGGTTTGAGGATATGTACTGTAGATATATATACATGACTTTGGATACAGGCTGATATGTATGTTGCTGTAAGGTTTGAGGATATGTACTGTAGATATTTATTTCATTTGATACAGGCTGATGTGAATGTTGCTGTAAATGCTGCGAGAGAAGCCTTCCGGTTAGGTTCACCATGGAGAACAATGGATGCTGCTCAGCGAGGCCACCTGCTGTATAAACTGGCTGATCTGATTGAACGGGATCGCCAATATATTGCTGTAAGTAATGTCAACGTCTGATATGAAGATACAAATAGTTTCCTCATTGAATTTAAGCTCCTAGTATCTATACCAATATATCCTTTTTCCAGAACTCATGATCATGATAAGGTATATCAAGGAAATGAAAACCAACAAAGTTGCAGAACATAACAAAAATACTATAAAAAGACTGATGTCTTGTTGTTGACCGTCCTTCTAATGTTGAAAGATATCACAGACAGACACTAGTCATTAATACCAAGATAGATACTAATAGTTTTGTTCAGGTACAGAGCCCAAATCCTATATCCTAAGGTAGGGTTTCCTTATCCCACATACCTGCATAATGATTGACTCTCTTTTCTCCCACCTCCTAATTTCCCAGAAATTTTGTTAATGATATTGTGAATACTACAAATAAAAACGAAATTAAATGGGTTTGGAAATACTTCACAGCAAGTTTATTAAAATTTTGTATATTTCCGTGAGGTGATGTCAGATGCCGAATGTGTGTTGGTGCTAGATGAATTATGCTAACCAAAATTGCAATTTAATGATGTCATGTATCGTATCAAAATGACGTAATGTTTCAGATTGTCAGCCAATATGGTGCTGAACAGTCTGAACACTATCGTTTGTTTGTATGCACTCCCAAGTCAGGATTTGGAAAAAAATGTTGTTCCTGAACTGGGGTCACTTGGTGCACCTATATGGGACTAATAGAATCTCTCACCCCCTTTGGGGGAATCTCAACCTGAGGAGGAAGATTCTTAAGTTGCCAAACATGAGACTCTGCCAAGTGATTGGCAACTTAATTAGGGGACTCTCAACGCTATACAGTGTTTCTGTGAAAATGTTCCCTATGTGAGGCTCAAGTGATAATAATCCAAAGATTCTTAAAAATCTTTCCCCGAGGGTTAAGATACCCCTATCTCACCCACAAGGGGGTGAATGATTCTTTTTCTCTTACCCTGTTCTCCCATTGTGTATCATATACACAATGTAATGATAACGTTACATGCTAAATTCAGGGTTGACGTGACGTTGATGGATTGTTGATGTGACATCATTGTATTGTTGAAGTGACGTCATACCATTGTTATGAATAGGGGAATCCCCCTGTCTCACCCCTAGGTTGAGACAGGGAAATCTCACACCGGTAAAAGTGTGGATACTTCTGTCCAGGGTAAAAGAATAATAGAATATCTCACCCCCTTGGGGGTAAGATAGGGGAATCTCAACCCGAGAGGGAAGAGTTATCCCACATGGGTGTTCCACGTGGGACATTTGTATTCTTGCATACACAGAGTTGGGAGAAATTACGCTCTGTCTAAACCATGCGTTTGGTTTTGGTTTACCACAAGTTTGAACAACCTACATAGGATTATGGTCCACAAAATCCGGTTGTGGTGAAAGGGGTAGGGTAGGTATATAGTATATTCATTTAGAATGACTATGGACTGAAAATTACCAAACATGTTATAATATTAAAAACAAAATTTATCATTGTTGTAGTCGCTGGAAACCTTGGACAATGGTAAACCCTACAACATCTCATACGCTGTCGACCTGGAACTTGTTATCAAGTGCTACAGGTAACGTGCTTGTAGCTCCTATAACTAAAATGTTTCTGTGAGAATGTTCCCTATGTGAGGCTCAAGTGATAATAATCCAAAGTCCTGGTAAATATTTTGTGACAACTAATACCTGTTGGATAGTTTCAGCTATTACCCAGTGCGTTATTAACACCCTCCATTCATATTTTAGCCGGACATTTTATGTGGTTTACTGTTGAAAGTTAATTTGATCGTCTATTATACAAAGCTATCGGTCATTGCCTTGTGCACTACATATGCTGTTTGTAAATAATGGAGACTCACGTCAGGCCTAACAAATAATGGAGACTCACGTCAGGGCTAACAAATAACGAAGACCCACATCAGGCCTAACAAATAATGAAGATAGCTGAAATTGTTATTTGACAAGTCCTTGACATTTCTGATGAGAATTTGGACAATCTTTCAGATGAAATTTTTAAGGCCAAAAACATTTTGAAATTGCTATGGCCAATATTTACCGAGTATATAAAAATAAAGCAGGAGTAAAAATAAATGAAATGCCAGAAGGAACTTAAACAAACATGGAACTTTCTAGACTATTCTTTCTTTTATTTAAAAAGCCATAGAAATTTAAATGGGTCCGGCTTCTTAACTCATTCACCCCTGAAGACACATTTGAACTCCTCAACTTCAAAGGTTGAAATAGTTCATTATGAAATTTCTGGGGTGAATGAGTTATAAGAAACCACTTGTAACCTGGCTGCTATGGGTGAAATTTTACCAGTCAATGCTATGTCCTAGGGGTATAGCTCATTTTACTAGGTTTTATTTTCACAACTACTTGCATTGTAATATCCTGTTCAAATAAACCAAACACACATCATGATAAGGTCACATATATCAGTCACTCTGCCTACATCTAGCCAATCAGTTGAGATATGTGTTAGAGCTAGTATTTGACCTAATGCCCCCTCAATTTTGTTTGTTTAATGATTGAGACATCACTACAGACAGTAGTGACACAGTAGATATATGATTAGTCTGCCTTTCCTTGTGTTCATTCTTCAGTTGTATACTGTTGTAGGGGTACTGTCTGTTAGTGACTTTTCTTCCTTGACTGATCGAGTTACACATATCGGCCAAATACGGGCTGCTTCCCCTAGCAAAATGTGCATTATTTTCCCCAAAAAGATAAAAGCTTTGACTTGCACTATAATAACTTTTACTGTTACACTATAATTACTTTGACTGATTACACTATAGTAACTTTTACTGTTACACTATAATAACAGACTGTTACATTATAATAACTTTGACTGATTACACTATAGTAACTTTTACTGTTACACTGTAATAGCTTTGACTGGAACACTATAATAACAGACTGCTACATAATAATAACTTGACTGCTACTCTATAATAACTTTGACTGTTTCACTATAGTAACAGATTGTTACATTATCATAACTTTGACTGGTACACTATAATAACAGACTGCTACAATATAATAACAGACTGCTACACTATAATAACAGACTGCTACACTATACTAACTTTGATTATTACCCAATAGTCTATATAAATTATAATTAGTCATTTTTGACTGTTTCTGGCCTTTTGTCCAATTTCGGCTGTAGGGGTGAAGCAGTCAAAACTGTTTTCCCGGTCGGAGCGAACTGTTACTCGGCGCGAAATCGATGCGCAGAAATCCCCCCTCGAGAGCCCCGTTCAAGCGTTTCGGTGACCGCACCTCAGTGTTGAAGCAATGGCAACATTGCATGCAGCATTGATACTAATATTTATTTGGTAATAAAACAATTGTTTCATGGTTATTTTGGGAACAGTCAAAACTATCATCCCGAGGTAGGGGGAAGCCCTGGGGAACTGTTGTAGTGTAACAGTCCGAGGCCGCTAGGCCAAGGGCAAACAGTTCCCCAGGGCTTCCCCCTACCTCGGGATGAACAGTTTAGCGGCCTCGGGCAAACAGTTCCCCAGGGCTTCCCCCTACCTCGGGATGATAGTTTTGACTGTTCCCCAAATAGCCATGAAACAATTGTATACTGCTACACTATAATAACAGACTGTTACACTAAAGTAACTTTTACTGTTACAATATAATTACTTTGACTGATTACACTATAGTAACTTTTTCTGTTACACTATAATAACTTTGACTGGTAAACTATAATAACATACTGTAACATTATAATAACTTTGACTGTAACACTATAGTAACAGACTGTTACACTATAATAACTTTGACTGTTACATTATAACTTTGACTGTAACACTATAGTAACTTTGACTGATACAATATAATATCTTTGACTGACTGTTATACTATAGTAACTTCGACTGTTACACTATAATAACTTTGACTGACGGATACACTATATTAACTTTGACTGTTACACTATAATTACAGACTGTTACACTATAGTAACTTTGATTGTTACACTATAATATCTTTTGACTGACTGTTACACTATAATTACTTTGACTAATACACTATAGTAACTTTGACTGATACACTATAATATCTTTGACTGACTGTTATACTATATTAACTTTGACTGTTACACTATAATTACAGAGTGTTACGCTATATTAACTTTGATTGTTACACTATAATATCTTTGACTGACTGTTACACTATAATTACTTTGACTGATACACTATAGTAACTTTGACTGATACACTATAACTTTGACTGATACACTATAATATCTTTGACTGTTATACTATATTAACTTTGACTGTTACACCAGAATTACAGACTGTTACACTATAGTAACTTTGATTGTTACACTATAATATCTTTGACTGACAGTTATACTATATTAACTTTGACTATTACACTATAATTACAGACTGTTACACTATAGTAACTTTGATTGTTACACTATAATATCTTTGACTGACTGTTACACTATAATTACTTTGACTGATACACTATAGTAACTTTGCTTGTTACACTATAATATCTTTGACTAACTGTTACACTATATTAACTTTGGCTATAACAGTGTAATAAGTTTGACTGTTACACTATAATATCTTTGACTGACTTTTACACTATATTAACTTTGACTGATACACTATAATATCTTTGACTGACTGTTACAATATTATAACTTTGACTAATACACTATAGTAATTTTGATTGTTACACTATATTATCTTTGACTGACTATTACACTATTATAACTTTGACTGACTGTAACACTATAGTAACTTTGACTGTTACACTATAATAACTTTGACTGACTGTTACACTATATTAACTTTGACTATAACAGTGTATTACCATTGACTGTTACACTATAGTAACTTTGACTGACTGTTACACTATAATAACTTTGACTGTTACACTATAGTAACTTTGACTGACTATCACACTATAATAACTTTGACTGTTACACTATAGTAACTTTGACTGTTACACTATAATAACTTTGACTGACTGTTACACTATATTAACTTTGACTATAACAGTGTATTACCTTTGATTGTTACAGGTACTATGCTGGGTGGGCAGACAAGAACCATGGCAAGGTTATTCCTATATGTAAGTAATATACATGTGCAGGCAGACGTTTATGGAATTGGTTCTTTTATCTATTAAAATATATTTTCCGATGACCCTTTTGCATCTCTTTACCACAGTAATTTTAGCTGTGACTTTCTCTATTTCTGAAAATTTACTCTGTAGACTTAGAAACTGATATTATCAAGCTTTGAATAACTGAGCTCTGGTCCATACGTGCAATCATATGTTAGGGCCTGATTCTTTTCTTGAGAAATTCTTGCTCAGAGAAAATGAATTTCTATTGTTACCATTGAACAAGACAAGAATTATCACATTAGAGAGAGTGTTAAGGGCACAATATCTATTAAAAATCTTAAAGTTTTAGAAACCATCCAATCCAGAGTTTTTATAGCCTCGTTACAGCACTTTCCTTATTCATATCAGACCTACAGTTTACTGTGCAGTATACGTCAAAACCTTTGCCCAAAACCTTTGCCCAAAACCTTGCCCTTCACCGGTAAAACTCATGTTTGCCCGGTGTTAATTTCACCTTTTACATGTAATAACTATATATGTTATGCTGTCAATTTATATCCACTTTCATGATGACTTTGCCTTCTTTGTGGGAGAAGAAATAGGGGAAAATGAATCTGCAGCGATTTTCTTTTTCCAGTTTCCAGTTTTAACATTCAAGATTTTTAGTCAAGGCTTCTAAAAGCATTTTTTTTTTTAAAGTTATCTTAAACTATGAACACTAAAGAACTACTGGTTACTGGTAATAAAGGTATTGAAAAATATTTCATTTAAAACATTTCTTGTGTGACATTTGAATCTTTAGAGACTTTAACCTATGACCTTATAGTTCGGTGACCAATGGTGACACTAATAGCCATATTTACCTTCGTTTGTATAATCTGTGATGACACTGTGACCTTAGTTTGTGTAATCTGTGGTTACATTGTGACCATAGTTTGTGTTATCTGTGATGACACTGACCTTAGTTTGTGTAATCAGTGATGACACTGTGACCCTAGTTTGTGTAATCTGTGATGACACTGTGACCTAAGTTTGTGTAATCTGTGGTTACATTGTTACCATAGTTTGTGTTATCTGTGATGACACTGTGACCTTAGTTTGTGTTATCTGTGATAACACTGTGACCTTAGTTTGTGTAATCTGTGATGACACTGTGACTTTAGTTTGTGTAATCTGTGATGACACTGTGACCTTAGTTTGTGTAATCTGTGATGACACTGTGACCTTAGTTTGTGTAATCTGTGATGACACTGTGACCTTAGTTTGTGTTATCTGTGATGACAATGTGACCTTAGTTTGTGTAATCTGTGATGACACTGTGACCTTAGTTTGTGTAATCTGTGATGACACTGTGACCTTAGTTTGTGTAATCTGTGATGACAATGTGACCTTAGTTTGTGTTATCTGTGATGACACTGTGACCTTAGTTAGTGTTATCTGTGATGACACTGTGACCTTAGTTTGTGTTATCTGTGATGACACTGTGACCGTGTCAGTGACCTACGGTGATAAACACTATTTATCCTTTATGTAACGTTTGATTGACAGGTGGTGATTATTTTTCTTACACGAGACATGAGCCTGTAGGGGTATGTGGACAGATTATCCCGGTGAGTAGAAGATTCAGTCTGCCGTATTTTTTCATGGTTGTAAAAGCTACATAATTTTTTATGATGTGAACATTTATAGGTGTCCTACATGAGAATTCGCGTCTATGCAAGCATGTCAAAGTTATAGATGTGATAAAACTTTCACGATGTAAAAAACATATGTAAATGGTGTTAATGGAGGAAATGTTATTGTGATTCTGACAAAGAAATTTGCTGCCCTTAGACCGTGACTTTCCTTGCTTCTATATATTTCATAAGTACACGTCTCCAAATCCCCTATTTTTTTTCCTTGAAAAGAAATCTCTTTTATTATTGCAATGTCACAGCGTCAGTTTTATGATTAAGATCTGCAGCTATTGCACTTTTCCTCACAAAATCCGGGATCGACAGGTGCAATCAGTTGGTGACATGTAGGACCGATAGGAAAACAACCTGTATTTTTACATGAATGATTTGTGATGAAATATAAATGAAGGGCATATAGTAACACTTAAAATAAAATTTGAACATGGTAAAGACCTTGCATCTTTACAGGATTTTATGATCGGCTTTGTTTTATTCTGCAACTTTTAAATATGGACTTGAGAAGCCTAGGAATTTAGTGTTGAAGCATGCTTTCTGTCTTGCATGTTCAGCCATGCAGTGTCTGTAGACAAAATTGATTGACTAGACCGGTGGAAAACACAAGATATCCTGTTACAGCAGAGTACTACTAGGTGTTTTTGAGGGGTTATTCATGAGTTGTTTATAATTCTGTCACAAAACACAGTTAGGTGGAAAGTAAGACATTTAATCTGTCTGCCTTTTTGCAGCTCTAGTCTTCTTGTCACATCAACTATTCCACAAGATGCAATCAGAAATCCTTGAAATATGGTATGCTTTGACGCCATTGTATGTAGCTTTGACGACATTGTATTTAGCTTTGACGACAGTGTATGTACTGTAGCTTTGACGACATTGTATGTAGCTTTGACGACATTGTATATAGCTTTGACGACATTGTATTTAACTTTGACGACAGTGTATGTACTGTAGTTTTGACGACATTGTATGTTGCTTTGACGACATTGTATGTAGCTTTGACGACATTGTAATTGGCATTCATAAAATCCTGTTAAGATGCAAGGTCTCTACCATGTATGTAGCTTTGGCAACAGTGTATGTAGCTTTGACGACATTGTATGTAGCTTTGACGACAGTGTATGTACTGTAGTTTTGACGACATTGTATGTAGCTTTGACGACATTGTATTTAGCTTTGCCGCCAGACATTGTAATTAGCTTTGACGCCAGACAGTGTATGTAGCTTTGGCAACAGTGTATGTAGCTTTGGCGACATTGTATGTAGCTTTGACGACATTGTATGTAGCTTTGACGACATTGTATGTAGCTTTGACGACATTGTATGTAGCTTTGACGACATTGTATGTAGCTTTGACGACATTGTATGTAGCTTTGACGACATTGTATGTAGCTTTGACGACATTGTATGTAGCTTTGACGACATTGTATGTAGCTTTGACGACATTGTATGTAGCTTTGACGACATTGTATGTAGCTTTGACGACATTGTATGTAGCTTTGACGACATTGTATGTAGCTTTGACGACATTGTATGTAGCTTTGACGACATTGTATGTAGCTTTGACGACATTGTATGTAGCTTTGACGACATTGTATGTAGCTTTGACGACATTGTATGTAGCTTTGACGACATTGTATGTAGCTTTGACGACATTGTATGTAGCTTTGACGACATTGTATGTAGCTTTGACGACATTGTATGTAGCTTTGACGACATTGTATGTAGCTTTGACGACATTGTATGTAGCTTTGACGACATTGTATGTAGCTTTGACGACATTGTATGTAGCTTTGACGACATTGTATGTAGCTTTGACGACATTGTATGTAGCTTTGACGACATTGTATGTAGCTTTGACGACATTGTATGTAGCTTTGACGACATTGTATGTAGCTTTGACGACATTGTATGTAGCTTTGACGACATTGTATGTAGCTTTGACGACATTGTATGTAGCTTTGACGACATTGTATGTAGCTTTGGCAACAGTGTATGTAGCTTTGACGACATTGTATGTAGCTTTGACGACATTGTATGTAGCTTTGACGACATTGTAATTAGCTTTGCCGCCAGACATTGTAATTAGCTTTGACGCCAGACAGTGTATGTAGCTTTGGCAACAGTGTTTGTAGCTTTGGCGACATTGTATGTAGCTTTGACGACATTGTATGTAGCTTTGCAAATGAAGTTCAGCTGTGTTTGCTGACCTGATTTTTGTGTCGCCTGCAACGCGAGGCTGCATAATGGTATTACTTTGTCGGCGGCAGTTGATTGAACTCAAATTTGGTACACATTTTGCATACGAATATAGCTCGGACAAGTTCGCATTTAAGAAGTTAATGTGCATTTTTGGTGGAGTTATGCCCCTTTTATTGCCAAATAAGGGCATTGTGAAGTAAATGAATGAACTTTTTTTATTTTTTAATCCATTCCTTTCTTTTCAAAGCAATAATGTTCAACATATATTACTACAGGTTTTTCTGTCGAGTTTCAACTTTCTGCATTTTGGCCTATCACACTTACAGTTAGAATTACGCCCAAGTATCCACTTTTTGTGGCACGAACGCAGGACGCACGCTTCCCGAACGGAGACGAGCCGCTATACGACCGCAGGACG